AGTTAAATAAGAGTTAATAAACTTTATACAAGTAAAAACAAAGCATCAGTTGTCAATGAAGAACAGCAGATGCCTAAAATATGAGACTGCAGGTATGAGGATAATGATAAAATAAATCCAAGCAGGCGCAGGCATGTACTGCGTGATGAGTACAGACAAACACGTGTCACGTATTTGAGGATGCAGAGAAAACACAGTGGTTGCAGCAGCGGAACAAAGCAGGGCTCCCCGTGTGGGGGTAGATACACTCAGAACGGGATGTTCTCTTTGGTAAACACACACACACACACACACACACACACACACACACACACACACACACACACACACACACACAACACACACACACACACACACACACACACTTGTACACAATCTGAATACACCTGTACACAGATGCATAAAAGTCAACAGGCAATACAACAGACACAGCTCACTTTGATATATACATAGATAACAAATGCTGCACACACAAGACGAACAGACACACTATACAATAATTGCTGTTTGTGTATAGGTGTGTGTGTGTGTGTGTGTGTGTGTGTGTGTGTGTGTGTGTGTTTGTTTGAACCTGCAGCAGTAAGTCAGAGGGAAATTGACTTTTCACAGTCAGTCAGCCATTATCTGCTGCAATGCTTTAAAATTGATTTGTTTCTTTTAATTACTGTAATACCACACAAAAACCTTTATGACTGGGCATTTGTCTTCACAATTATTATATCAACATCTTGACAATGACCAAATGAAATTTACTTAAAAATAACACAGTTAGTGAAACCTGACATTCGAGAAGCAAAACCTCAGCCCAGATCTGCACAACTCTAAGCACATTCTCAGCCTCACACTTTTCACAAAGGACTACACACACTTCTCTCTGTTAGACACAGAAATCTAACAGGATTTCACGTGATGTCACTTCTTTGCCATCTCAAGGCTTTGCCTTTCCAAACACCTCTGAACCAATTTATGAAACACACTTTTCCACCGATCTGCTCTGGTCCAAAACTGGTTTCACCATCAGCACTCACTTTCACTCTAATACCTCACATCATGCTTTTCTTCCTTAATCCAACTGTGGAGTCGATCTCCAGTGTCAGGATACCCCTCATTCAGGCCAAGATTTGCCATTCAAGAACATTCTTCACTCACTGTCTTGCAAGAAATAACCTGTGAACCTGTGATGTGGACGAAGTGCTATGGCCAGATCCAGCTAGGTTAAGGGTCTTTTTTATTCATGCTTTTTTGTTGTGTTTATGTACTATATTCTATTAATGATATGATCTGTTCTGATTTCACATGCATGTACTGACTGATTTTACAGTGTGGAGAGAAATAAATATTTTCATTAGTGCGCAGTGGTCTTGTGTGTTGTGTTTGGTCAATATATATTCACATACTTTGCTCTGACAATATCTCTGAAAAACTCAAATCCAGACTTCATCATTAGAAAAGTAAAAATGTTACTGTTTTGGACGGAGCACAGCAGTGTGTAACGATTCAAACTGAATCAGACTGTACGAACCATGTGTGCGCCATACAATGACAAAATTGTTTTATAAATTATTGTATAGGTTTGAATTAAGTGTTTCTTTTTTGCAGATCTCAGAAATTTCACTACTTGTGTGTGTGTTGTGCTAATTGTGTGTACTGTTTTCACAAAATTAGTCGTTTGTTCTTTTGTAAATCACTGTTATCATTGATTATTTCAGACTAAAATCATGACGTACAACCACACTATTTTATTATGCAACTAAAGAATAGTCTGTGGGTGATTTTTAAGAAGAAAGTACCAGAAATTTTTCTCTGTCGATTTTAAACTTGTTTTGTTTTTGTTGCATTGAGCAGTATTTTCACTTCCTCATAGTCCAGTAGCCATCTGCTGGTAGACCATTTGTTTTGAATACTTTTTTGTATATTTTTTTTTCTTTTTTTAACACATGAAACAATGTGCAGACTCACACAGTAATTGATGGACTGAACAGCCAGAAGCTGCATAAATGAGTCTACTGCCACCCAGTGGCTGAAAAACACACTTTTTCCTGTTGTAGGGGAACCAGTCTTGAGGGTGTGAGGGCTGCAAGCATGGTGCAGAACAGAGAAGTCTGCAGACAAGAAGACAACACACAGTGTCTGCAGACATCTTAAAAACACACCAAAAAATGGATGCGCGACTAATTCATTTAATTTATTTTGTTTCATGGCTTCTACACAGCCAAAGGGATGTCATCTACATTTTCACTTCATAACTTCAGCTGACAGTTGTTCAGAGGAGGTGGATGGGTAATTGGAGAAGGTCAGACATGGTCATGTTGTGATGAAAATCTGAAATCTCCCCTCAGTCTAGTTAATCAGTCTACAATTATTTGCCTTTCATTGTTTCCCAGCATGAACTTGTTGCATTCAGCCATCTACAGGATCTATGCATACACTGTAAAGTTGTTTTGATCATGGATTCAGTGGACATTTATACTCCCATCTTTAATCAACTAAAAAACAAGAAAGAAACACTTTTTTTCCCTTCGCTGCTCTTTCACTATTGAATGTTGACAGTGCTAAATGGAAGTGCTGGAAACATAACACCACTGTTGCTAAAATTATCTACATGCGATATTGTAAACTCTATATCTGGCCCACTGCCAACAGGAAACTAAATGAAACCAGCAATGCAGCGTGCATCTCTATTCTCTCTAAATATTTTCAAACACTGACACTGAATTGGTGAGATAATGGACTGCAGCTAGAGTTTAAAATATTTTTTCAATGCTGAGAAACTGTAGAATACAATGCAATACAATACAATGGAACAGAGTAGAACAGAACAGAATGGAAGATAATAATTTAAACAGAGCCAAATAGATCTGAAAACAACAGGCTTAGGTAGAATCAACAGAAAAGAACAGATCAGAATACAATAGAACACAGCAAATAGAATAGAATAGTATAAAATAGAATCAACAGAACAGAGAAGAACATAATAGAATGGAATGGAATCAACAGAACAGAATAGAACCAACAGAATATAATAAAATAGAACAGATTAGAATAAACTCAACAGAACAGAACCAGAACAGAATAGAATTGTATCAACAGAACTGAGAGAATAGAATAGAATCAACAGAATAAAAGGAACAGAACAGTAAACTAGACTAGAACATTACTATTATTATTAATACTCAAGAAAACCAGACAATAAAAAGAAAAAGAAAGGATATTGTTAGTTTACATGAACAAATAGATCATCACTGATGCAGATTTCTTCACACTTCTGTCATTTGTCATCTCCAAACAGCACTAGACTGAAGTCACTTGGCAACCTTGCAACTCTCCATAAATGAGGTGCTGAATGAAGATGCTGGTGTATTTGTCCTTCATGGAGTTGCTGCTGTACATCTTCAGTACGTCAATACAGGGCGTGTTGATGACAAACTCCTGTGACCCAGAGAAGGATGTTTGGAGGTTGCTTGTCCTTACAAGGACAAATTTGGCTGTTCCTCCTTGGTTCAAAAGAGGTGTGGGATGATTAAAACATGATCCAGGTGTTAAGGAAAGAATATACCTTTTTTCACAGCAGCCATTTTGACATAAAATACACAAGACTAGTTGGCAAAAAGATTTAGATATTATAATATTAGCATAACATTATATAACATAATGTAACTCTTTGAAAGGTTTCGTTTAAAAGGAAAATTCCCATTCACCCCACAATGAATGTGGGGAATGTATGGCAGAGCAATGCAAAGTACAGTAAGGGTCAGCAAGTTTGGATATTATTGCACCAAATAGTTTGAAAATAACGCTGCAAGGAGAATCTTGCTGTGCTGTCCATACATCAGCACACTGTCTTTGCTTGAAATGTCTCATACGTTTTTGGTATTTGTTGCTGTAAATAATAACATTAATGTACAGAGATATAAGACATATTACTGGTGCGAGGTGATTATTGATTGTTCCATTAATATCTTCAGGAATTCTTAAAATAGGGTTACAATTAGGGTTTAATTTCTGCCCAGCAACCAGCTGGTCTCAACCACTGAGAATATATATAATGAAAGAGCTTCTGGGTCTGTGAAGTGAGGCCAACAAAGAAGTGTCTTAAACCTGCATTCTATGTAAAAGCCAGTAGGGGGATCTCCATTGGCTGCAATAAAAAAACAGTGTGCTGTAAGGAGAGCTAACTTGGCTTGCCATAATGACACATTTCAGCACAGACAGCAAATAAAGCCATAAACTCCGTTATATGTGACCGGTATAACTTAAAAATAAAGCATATATTAACAGCATAGTTAAATTACCATCTTCATGTCCTCACAGACGTGGTGGTGCTCTTCCACTCCAAGTGCTGTCTCTGTGAACCATCAGTGATGATAAAGAATTTGAACTGAAGAAAAAATGGCGCATCCAATGTGTGGATCCACTTGGTGTCAGCAGTGAATCCACTGTTCCACGGTGCGCTGTGCTTAGGCGGGACATACTGTATACTGTGCGCATTGCCTAAATGACTGAGTCTACTATGTGGGGTGGTAGAGACCCTTCTACATGAACTAAAATCATCAAAGAAAATCTAAGACACCATTAATGATATGTAAGATAATTTTGTCAGACAGGATGTGATGAAAAAAGTAGAGTAAAAATAGGCTACGTCAAATAATTATTACTATAAGTTAAAATTATACACATTTATTATTCACAATATGGAAAGAGGAAATGATAGAGATCCTTAGGAACATGACTCAGGCCATTAATGGGCTTATTCAAGTCATCTTTTATTTCTTGGGGTTATTTTTATCCATTACGCATCTCGCACACGTGTCTTAGAAAGGTGGTTTGTGTTGTAAGTTGGTGAATAAAGACATTTTCCAGGTTACGTGTCACTACTATTGTATTCATTAATACAGCACAAACCAGGACACCGCCATGCAAATGTGGCTTTTTGTTTCCGACGGTCCTATAGGATTCAACTACAGGGTGCAGCAGACACAAAAAGACACTGTAACAGGCAATTCCAGTTAGATTTTTTTATCAGTCAATTTCTTAAATTATCCTTTGAGTTTCATAATGGCTTAGTGAAAAATGGCCCAGCTGATCATACATTAATGAAAACATAAATGTGAATATTAAATTGCATTTCTGCCAATAAATTCTCCTAAATATTACACACTGGCCCTTTAAGTAAGAAAGCATTTTGGTTATAGAAAACAAAATATCCATATTAAACAACCAAAATAACAAGTCATTATAACATAATCTGTGCATCTCAAAGTCACAACATTGCTTCCTTAAAAATAAAACAGCACAGGTTCTCTTGGGCACTGCTGTTGTTGAGCCTGAACTCTTGAGTCTTAAGTTCAAAACAGATAGGCGGCATATGATGCACATCAAAATAGCACCTTTACTATATTCTTTGTAAACCCAAATCCCAGCAGTGGTGAGGTGCACTTCTGTGCAGACGGAGGAGCAGCATCTTGAGTGGCACTGTCATATGATGCCCTGCTGAGATGCAGCAGCAGTAATGTGATTGGGACTTAAATGTGCAGTTGAGTTAGACTTGGACCTCCGGCAGCGTCTGACTAACAAGGCAGATGCTAGTACCGCAGAGCTGAACATGAAGGAAGCCCCGCTGAGGAAGAAGGTGGCTGTGTAATTTCCTGTACTGTCAACTAAACAACCTAAAGACAGAGAAACAGAAAGGTGTTATAACTCGGTGAAAAAAACACACAATCCTTTAGGGTGTAGGGCTTGAAAGCACAAAAAACAAGACACCCAAACACCTTAGAGTACTTGGAGTAATAAATTCATGAAGACTTACCTCCTATTGGTGGGCTGATCAGGTAGGGGATAGCATGCAGGAAGTAGACCACACCCAGGGCGGAGGTCAGGTAGGTGGAGCCAACCACATCAGAGGTCACCACTGGGATTAGCGCAACATACGCCCCGTCAAAGTACCCATAGAATACGGAAAATGGGACCAGGAGGGAGAAGGAGTGAAGGAGGGGAACGAACATACAGCAGAGCCCCTCCAGGCCTATTGCCACCATGTAGCTCAGCATGCGATACTTCTTCAGACACCTGGAGGAAAGGAGATTTATCAGTATTGGGCTTACATTAAATATCTGCGACTTATTTCTCACACACACACACACACACACACACACACACACACACACACACACACACACACCAAAAAGCACAACTCCAGTTCTTACTTCCTGTCCGTGATCCATCCAAAGGTGATGTTACCCACAATGCCGCTAACTCCAAATATAGACATGAGGAAGGCAGCCTGCTGGTGCCCCACTCCCACGCTGAGGCTGTAAGGAACCAGGTAAACTAATGGAGCACTGCAGCCATATGCCAGAAACAGGAGGGACACAGACAGAATCAAGAAGTCGGGTAACATGAGAAATCCAAACTCCTCCCTGGACTCGAGACAAAAACTATGACATCTTGACAAAGTTTTTGTGTTAACTGCAATGCCGTCTTTCTCCAGGTTTCCCATATTGTTCTCCAACATCCTTTAGATGGAAAAGAACAGAAGAAAATACATTAAAATGGATCACAAAATTTAACTGAGTATATTTGAATTCTTAAAGGATTAGTTTGATTTTGTGATTTTATGGATGAGCTGCTTAATCAATTAAACAAAAACAAAACTGATAAACTAGTCCATGAGAAAAAATCATCTTAAATTGCAATCCTAGCATGGAAATAAATCTTAAGCAGTATAGTAGCAATGGAGCAGAGGACTTGCCTTTCACATCCTCTTGGTTCCAGTGGCCTCATCAGAGCACCACAGACACACAGGTTGGAAACAAATCCTCCCAGGACGAGCAAAGCTCCTCTCCAGGAGTAATACTCTATAAGCAGTTGGACTGCAGGAGCCAGGATGAAGGTCCCAATGCCAGTACCTGAAGATGAGGTGAAACTGGATTTGATGGGATGAAATGAGGCAAGGAGGGCAGGAGAAGCATGGGTAGAGGAACTTCCAACCAGAATTAAAAGCACAGAGGAAAATAAGTAAAAGAAGAAGGAGGAGGTAAGGAGAAAAATGAAGAAGAGAATAGAGGATGGGAACGTAAGGTGTGAAGGACAAGAAAACAAAGCAACAGGTAAGTAAAGATGTAACTACCAGACAGGGCGATGCCATAGGCCAGAGCTTTTCTCTCATTGAAGTACCTTCCAACCATCGCTATTGCTGGTGTGTAGCTGAGAGCAAAGCCAAGACCTGTAGAGGATGGATAAAGGGGTTTGGAATTTGGCAGAATCTGCCAAATGTTGCCAAATCTGAACAGAAGTTTGGCTGTCAAAAGAATACGATGCCCTGGTACGCCCTGCAATATGCATTACAGTACATTATATTACATTGACTTCGCAGATGCTTTTGACCAAAACAACTTACAATGAACACATTCAACCCCTACAGGAACATGAAATGTCATCCCTCCCAAACAAACAACTTAGGCTCATTACTGGCCCAGTCACCAAATGTTCTTTCTCTGTCCTACATTGTTGAGTTCTTTTGTTAAGGAATCGTGCGTTGGAAGTTTGATGTTTTGTGCCCAGGTAAAATTGTAGGTGAGGGGCTTGTGTACCTGTCACGATGCCCAGGGAGATGTATAGATGTTCAAGACTGGAAGCGAAGGAGCTGAGGACCAGACCAGTAGAAGACAGCAGACCCCCCATGATCACTGTAGCTCTGCAGGAGAGATGGTTCCCAAGGAAACCACCCAGAGGAGCTGGAAACACAGTTTGTGTGGATTACTCTTATTTCACTGACGGATGGTTAAGCAGTTCACACACAGTAGCTCAAACATATGAAGGGTACACAGTAGAGATGATTGTTTTTGCATCCTTGTGCACTTTATTTGAACTGATATTTTATTGTACTCCAGGTTCGATGTACTCATACACTTTGTGGTTTTGTCTGGATGTACTCTATATCCATCAAATAACATTTTATAACTTTCAATCTGCATCTGGATCTGAATCAAAACAGTGACAGACAAATACAGAATACATGTGTCTGATGTTTTTATTCATGTAAGGGCTTATGAGAAACTAGAAGATGCTCAGAAATTCTCATGCATTTAATAAATCATTGTAACACTTACCTGCGCCTGCAACAGACAAATGGGATCCCCCAACAAATACAAGTAAGTTTTGCTTTACCAAATCTGGTTTAACTGCAGCACTGATCTGCCTTCAGACACTCTTACTGATGGTCTTACCACAGAGCATGGTGGTGGAGTCGATCAGACTGTGAATCCATGCGGTGGAGGAATAATCCTTCTCGAAGTGCAGCTGGAACTCGACAAAGAACATGGAAACACATCTGGATACAGAAACAGGGGAGGTTGGATTAAGTGCATATTTAGACAACATCTGCAAAAAGGTGACATTGATCAAAAACTTTTGTATTTGCTGAATTGCTAAAATGTTATCACTGTCTGGAAGCTCTTCCTCAGAAAATCTCCTCCGCAGTGATCATTATCATTAGCATTATCCAGCTGGTTTGAAACAAACAGATACCACTATAAGTTAGGCGATAAACTGGTGACAATATCTTTTGAAAGACTATGGCCTGCAACTTTAAACTTTAAACAACTTTAAAAACATTTATTACATTAAGGAGGCGCACAGAAGGTGAAAGCTAATAACAAAGAGTCGACAAAAGATATTCAATCAGATGACTCAGGTCTTATTAGGTGTCAGCATCATGTCAGAGTTTATAAACTAGAGTTGAGTATGTTTATTAGTTTATGGCTGTCATTCACATCCACTAACCTGAGAGCTCTGTCCTGCCTGAGCCATTTTATATGACTCTCATTGCCTATTATGTAAAGTTAAATGCTAGTACAGGCCAACAAAATGTAACTTGAATCTGAGAGTGGTTTAACAAACAGTGGTGTACTCTCTTGTGACAATTTTATTCTTTTATTGAGTACAATAAATATTGAGAAACATAGCGAGTTATGAAGGTAGATGAGATTTGGTATCGCATGTAATGGATAGATGTGGACCTTAATCTTCACCCCTTAAAGTCTCAATGCCAAGTTCTTATTACCCCATGAATATTTCTCTAGATCCGACCAAGCACGGCTGAGCCACTAACATCAGGTTTAGCCATCCGATAACTTGAATGGGGATAAAGTGATTTAATCAGCTTCTCTAGAATTTCCAAAAATGTATCCCCATTTTACAGCCACTTTTCCCACAATGTAAGCCATTGCTGTGATTACACAGTTTAGCAACTATGTCAAATAAACCTTTATCACAGCGGCCATTTTGACATGAAATAGTAGGTTAAACACAGGTGTTACCAATGATACTATTAAAGGTTCTGTTCCGTTCAGGTCAAACCAAGTCAGGGTGCTGCTATTGTTTCTGTTGTGTCACTGGAAAGGCTATTTCATGTCAAAATGGCTACTGTGAAAAAGGTTTTGGCTTCAAAGTTCAGTGCTCTTCCCAGGGGCTTCCATTGGATTAGCTTTCCTGCTAAAGTCTCCTTCTTATATGACTTACGGTAAAACACCAGAACTGCCAGCTGTCAATTAAACACTGACAGTCCTATCAAGCTCTCTTCCTTATAATATTGAAAAACTATTAAAAATACATTGAAAAATATGGTGATATAATATTAAACAAAAGAGATGACTGTGATTTCAGTTGGATTTATCACAAATATATCTATATCACAAATTGTTGTTCTCACTTTTTCAATGTACAAATATTAGCAGTGGAAACCAGTGTCAGCCTGACACGTGGAGGAAATGTGCTGACTGTGCAAAGTTGGAAGATGGAAACATCTCAGCAGGATTTCAAAGTCTTAGTGGAAAAAATAAACTATTGCTGCTGAATCAGGTTAGTGGCTTAAACAATGTGTGCTGGAGTGGAAATGGAGGCTCGCCAACTAATAACGTAGAGGTGTTAATGACCAAAGCTAAGAACACAAAGCCTTGAGATCAACTACTTGGCAGAACTGTGTGCCACACAATACTGCAACTCCAGAAGCTACAAATGCCTCATGTAAACTCTAGCTCAGTAGCATGCAGGTACAGAAGAACTGTACGTCAAAGGATGCGATCTCATTCTCAATCTGTTGTGCCTCAAATCTCCTCTCACTCTCACTTACCATAAATCTTCTAGACCCATAAAACCAAGCATTCTTAAGGAATTGAAGATTAGATTTATAGCCCATCAGATTGATAACTTAATGCTGCATCATTAGTATGCCTATACATAAGTTTACCCAGTAGGGGCCGAGCCGTGGTGCTGCCAAACGAACAAACGACAAGGAAATCCCTGCAACTCTATGTACAAAAACAACGTATTTGTGTACTTTTGTAATTTGTGACATTCCTGCACATCCTTCACCTCTCTCTCTCTCACACACACACACACACACACACATTCACCTGGTCACTGCCCGGATGCAGATGGTGGCGAGGAAACAGCTAGCGACGATCATCCAGCCCCAGCCACCTTCCGGCGGGGTTGCGGCCCCCGATGCCCGTCTGCCTTCTTCAAACTTCTCCTCCTTGGTGACCGCCATCGCTCCAGCCAATTACAAGGCAGATTGACATCAGTATCCACCCCCTCTGTTACAAAGGATGCTGGATGTCAAAACTCCCCTCCTCAATGTTCTCCCTTTGTCTCTAAATGTACAGTATGTTTTCATTGGCCGGGCTTGTTCTTTTTAAAACAGTAGCCCTTGCTTAAAGATCTTCGGGGAACTTAAGGCACCTCCTCCTCTTCAGCTGTCAGTGAGGAAACACAGAAAATACAACAAAGAAAATTAAACTATGAAGCATCATATGTCAGCATCATATAGAGTTAAAGCTCCTTTCTTGACCATCCATCTACTTTATATTTAGCTATGCGCTGTTTCTGTTGTGTTGAAGTACAAACCAGTAGTTTTTATTCTTTTTTTTCATGTGTGATATAAAACTAAATACAATTTGTCTTTTGGACATTTGATCAAATTAATGAGTACATCACCCAGAAAGATGTAAGGAATTATAAAGGGCATTTTTCACTATTTTCAAAGATTTAATGTAACAAGCAATAGAAATTAACCAACAGATTAATTGATAATGAAAGTAATAAAAACTTGTCACAACCTTTCACCCAAAGAGGTGACTAGAGGAACAGTCAGGGGATCAACAAAGGCATTAGAATTCATCCTCTGGGAACCATGAATGCCATAAGTGTCTGTACATAAAAAACAGCTCATTACAGTAAGATAGTAAAAAAAAACAACAGGGTGACCTATATGCTGTGTTGTATGTTTCATATGATGAATAAATACCTATGAAATGGCTGATAAAGGCTGGATTTTAGAACAGTTTTGTTCAAGAAATCTACTATGAAGAAGAAATGGGTAGTTAGTATTAGCAGTAAGATGAAGACACATCTTCATTTTCCGATTCATGCATCATGTGGACTCTTTTGTGTGACTTCCTGCTCCAAGATAAAAGCTTGTAAATTACTCCAAGCGGTAGTGTGAGTGCTCATATCTCTGCTTCTGTTTTTCATCATAGCTGAAACTGTGGAGAGCAGCAAAGGTCAGACATAAGCCTGATGAATAACACCAGGCAAGAAACACTGGCCCATCTGCTGACAGAACACTGAAAAGGATTTCTCAAGTTACCGTGGGTGTGTTTGAATCCTTGTACTGCACACAAAGAGGACACACTGGCTTCAAACAATAGCCAGCATAGCCACTAAACGACAGTAATCACAGACTGATCTTTTGACACCCTTTTGACTCCACCCACTCATTTCCATCTCAAAAGCAACCGATCTCTCTTCTCGCTCAACAGCAAAAGTGTGTTTTCACTATTCTGATTGAAACAGGACACCAAACAAACAAAGCTAAAGGCCTGTTGCTTTACTGTATATAATGTAAAAGGCTTCTATCATTTGTTTATCCTCTGTTAACAAAAGCAGCACTGCCCTAAACATTTGGCAGATTGGGGTTTAGAAACATTTTTGGAGACAGGAATGACCTCAGTGGTGGAGTTAAATCAAATCTGAGTATACAATTCAGTTAGCTTCCAACCCCCCACCACCAAGCAAAGCAGGTCAAGGAAGTCAAACCAGTTAGCTTTGATAGGAGTGCAGACCCTCTTAGAAACAGCACTCATGCAGATGAGAGGATCTTACCACAATAAAAAGTGAAACCCAATATTTGTGGAGCTACTGGTGTCGCTACATCATAAACAAATCTTAAAGTCAGCTAAAATGACTTCTTTTTCTTCCTTCTTTTTAGTGTGTATTCGCAAGCTTTGGCTCTATCCAACCTTTTCTTCTGTTAAAGTGGACATGAGGTTTTTGACAGGTCGATGCTGTAGGTTTCATTAAAAGCTATATTTCTGAGGCAATCTCTTTATGTTCAAGCGTGAAGATGCAGCACTGCATACATTCATGGTTAATGACATTATCACTGGTGGAATTTAGGTACATTTAAGTACTGTTATTTTACTTATGGGGAAATATTGGACTTTTTACTCCACTACATTTGTCCGATAGCTTTAGTTACTAAAATTATTCATACACTTCATGTCCAGTAAAAACCACATATATCCAGACATGCTGATTGAATGTCTGGGATAAAGGATGAAAATTCTCCTACTTATTAAACTAAATAAACAGTTGAATCCCTCTTGGATCATCTTTAAAATGCACGGTCAACGCTGAAAACAGGGTTGTTTTTCTGAGCTCATGAAAATGGACTCTTTAGAAATCACATGACACATTGGTGATCTTACAGAATATGACGCACTGCTGTAGAATAAACTACCCCACAATGTATAATTAAAGATAAGCTCAAACCTAAACATCTACATCAGTAAAAGGTGACCTACACATCAATGCAATAACAATATTTAACCAAAAATGTCCAGCAGAGACCATTTTTCTCATAATACTTACATACTGTTATTTAACTAATGCTCTGAACATAGGACTTTTACATGTAGAGGAATCACGGTGACGTATTGCTGTAGTACTTCTACCTCAGTAAAAGAACTGGACCATTGCTGCTTGTTTGATTTGATAATCATGCCCCGAGGCTAAGCTCCACACTACTGTCGTAGTAACTGGTAAGTGTTTAAAATGCTTGTGAAGCATCTGTGAATCAGTAGGTGTTTCCATTTGAAAAGCTTAGGCCTTCACACCAGCTGTGCAGTCTTTGCATTTCAGGTACATGGTCTGCTTTGGGGCCATTACAGGAACCCGTTCAGACAGGAACCTCAAAGAACCTAGACAAACAAACAGTGTGTGTTCATGTGTATTGATAAGAAGGTTGGAAAGGGCAGAGAGTCCTCATTTAGAGGACAGCAAACGTTCAATTTGGAAATAAAGCAATAAAAGAAAATGTATTAAACATAAAAAGAGAATAGATTTGAAGAGCACGCATATCTTTGCTGGTGAAACGCATGCACCCGTCCAAAGGTTTCTGGCAGCTTTTTCTGCTTTATCATCCGTTGCTCAAAAAACCTTATCAAGTCAAACTAACAGGTTGTAAAGTTTGCATTTGTGTGTGGATCGACAGTGTGTCATCTACAGAGAATTCCCCTCTTGCTGCAAAGTAAACTGGCACTTAGCCATGAAAACAGGAGCAGAGTTTACTCAGATTCACTGAAAGGTGTTCACCACAAGCAATCAACTCCAATGGCCATATTTGCACATGACATTCATCTGAACATATATAATTAAAACGGATTCTGCAGCCTACAAATAGTGTATGTAGACCATTTATTTTCTAATTCAACACATACGCACAAAATAATCTGTCTTTTGTTTTGTATGATAAAAAATAATTTACCAATGTATTAGGGAGAAGACAGACACACACACACACACACACACACACACAGGGCTTATAGACATGCAAATGTGGAGAGATGGTGAGGTGATGATGGCCTGCCACGTAGCAGCGCTCCAGGAGCAGTTAGGGGTTAGATGCCTTGCTCAAAGGCAGAGCACAGGAGGTGGAACCAGCTACCAGTCCTTGGATCCCAAGCCAAGTCCCTACAGACCGAACAACTGCCACAACTTAATTGTTAATAATTAATTATATTGACTATACTACAATTCATTAGGTGAAAGGACCACAATGGAAATTATTGTTAGTATTTTTCTAACTTTCTGTGTGTGATCCTTCCCATTTACAATGAATATGTGTGTATTTGTCGCAGTGTTTGATGAGGTAGGCTATATAGAGTTTGAGATCAAATCGAGTCTAACCAAAATATTACCGAAACAAAACCAAAAAAAGCACGCAAGTGGGAGTAACACATAGACTTTTAGAAAGTTGCGCCATCATTTTAAACAAGATTTAGTTTTTTGAAAAGAACAATAAAGTGTGCGGTGACTTACATCAGCTCGCAGCCGGCCTCTGCTCCTCTGTCACCGCTTCATGCCTCAAACACAAAGGCGATCACAACCGCTGCAGCCGCTCCTGCAAACACCCCGAAGGTGCTCTGCGGTACCACGGCGTCCGCACACTGAAGATAACAGGGGAGACAGGGGGAGGGAGGGGGAGGAGGAGGCCCTAAATATTCCCACCGAGAGTCTTTATGTGTCTTTATACTGACGCGGTCACTTTTTTTTATTGATACATTGTATAACAATCCCATAATGTTGCGTTAACAAGAGTTCAACAAGATAGCCCTGTACCCACTTTATATTTATCACAGGAGATAAGGCAATTGAAATAAAAAGTGATGTTCAGCATCTCCTGTAATATTCCTACAAAGTTTTTGACATCGTATGACAACTTAAAAAAAAATAAAAAATAAAATCCTAGTTAAGAAAAGCCGAATCACGTAATAATGGTATGGAGAGCCACACTTTAACAATGGGCAGTAAAGGTGATGAGTCAAAAATAAAAGTGAACAGGCTACATAATGTTAGATATGTTTAGGCTACTTTAACTGGAGTGTTAAAAGAAATGTTGCACACGTTCCTTTGTCCTCCAGTCAGCTGATAAAACAGACAAAACACGTTTATTTTCTCTTTAGGATTAGTTAATCATCCATACACCGCAACAAAAGCGCTGTAGGAGCCATTTTAGTCAACAAGCTAATGCTAACAAATTAATAGCTGATGAAAGTTAGCTGCAGCTAGGTAGCTAGCTAGAACAGTTGGTGCCTTTGTGTACTGTTTGATATTCACTGTTGTTTATTGACTCTTCTTTTTATATTTCCAAACAGCCTTTATCTACTCAATTTAAAAGACATGTACTTAGTGGAGTATCTTTGTCACTTGTTGCCATAGTCCACTACATTTAATACATATGTTGTACTTATTTCACTACATTTGACGAAATTACTCAGATATATGTTGTCTTAATACTTGTTGTCTTACACACACCACCTTGCACCTTGTGTTGATGTTACATTGTTGTTGAAATGTGCTTTACAAATAAACCTGCCTTGCAGTCCATTAACATGGCTGCTAAACATATGATGTATTATATTATGTATTTTTTTTTTTACAGACTAAACCCAACAGTATGTGAAATACACTATGACCAATGATGGAGTTTCATCGTTAGTAATGTATTAGTACAACAATAGTAATAACAGGGGCCATTTGTCTGCATTGAGTACATTTAGCTAATAATGTACTTTCAGTGTGCTACTTATACTTAAGTACAGCATCTGAATAGCTTTCCCACCACGGCTGGGTTCAGGAGACTCAGGGTCAGCCCTATGTTCCCACATTTCTAGGACATTTTCAAAATTAGGTCTGGTGTTCCTACATTTCCCTTCAATTCAAGTCCTATCCTCCCACAGGATTTTTAGGGTTGGGGTTAGGGTAAGAAATGTGGGAACTGTGGGAACATAGGGCCTAATTTTGAAAAAAACAAAAAAAAAAAAAACAACTTAGAAATGTGGGAACACAGGGCACGCTCCCCAGGACTCCATATGGTGGCTTGTACATATTAGTCTGACTTGAATCTAGCATTATGGGACTTTTTCTACACAGTAGCATGTTTATAGTAGCCCTGACACCTGCCTATAGTCTTCCTGTAGTTTCTCTTTAGATTAATGTTGCATCTCGAAACTATTCTGATACTATATGCTACTGGATTATAATGCCGATGCCACTTAAGACTTGTCTGACTCCCTAATTCATTTACACACCATCACTTGTTCACTGTTACTTAAACCAAAGTCAACTGTTGAGTCAGTCACATCTTTCATGCTTTTTATCTTTCATGCGTAGGATTTCAAGCTCCTACAAACTTAGAAATGTTAGGTCTTCCTTTTCATTCAGTAAAAACACATCCAGAACACATTTCTCATCCAGTTTTAGTTTAATTCCTTTTTAGAAAAAAAAAATCTCTTCACTTCAGTACATATGCATTGCACAAGGCAGAGAGCTGTTTTCTTTTTTATAGTCATTTTTTTTGTCTTTTTAACCCTTTCTGTTTTCAAACCAGAGTTAAAAGAAGCAGCAGAACTGATGCCAACAACCAGCACTGGGCTTCCCAAACCTTTCACACACAGATCCAGATCACAGAGGAGCTGACGTGAACGACCGGCACTGAAATCCAGCAGACGGGAAACAAACGCCTAGATGTAATGTGAGTTCAACACTTACAAGTGCAGACGAATGGTCTAAGTCAACATACCACATGTCCCCTTTAGTTCTCAACCATCATTCAGACCAACTATGACATATTTAGCATGGTTATTTTTTTAAAATCAAATTAAAATAGACCTGAATGGAATTGAGAAAATGATATTAAAGTCACATGAAAAAAAAGATTAGATTGGTGGATTCAGGCTTACAACGAATGTCAGAAATTTTAGACAATCACAGAAAAAACATCAAGAAATGTATCTAGTCCTAATGAGCAAAATCTCACCAATCACATACCACAAAGAGGTTTACACAGACTCCTAAAAGTAATCGCGAGTACTATTTATCACAGCTCTGGTAAAGTTGTTGGTAAGGGTATTAAAGCTGCAGAGGAAAGTGGTTTGTTTCCACGTGTCTTCTGTCTGCGTCGCGATTGTAAATGAAGTGCCAAGTCGTGTTTTGGGAAACCTGACCCTGAACAGTTGAAACAACTTTATCAACAGACAGATTGCTGGTGCAGAATATATCATATTAATATTATTTACAAAATCTCTGTACAATCAAATACACAAGGGTGAAAAGGTCTGTCCTGCCAGTCAAGCATTCCAGAAGACAGTTTAAAGGCTGGATGTGTTCACGCAACAGGATGTTTGACCAGATTAGGAACCTGTGAGGAAATCCTGAACGCTTTAGTGAAGTTGTGTGGAAAACATTAGACAAGTAAAAGGTCAGAAGGTCGCTCTGACGAGTTTGGTCTGACAGCAACAAGGTGTTCACAGTTTGGCATCCATCCTAAACTAACACTGTCAAAGATAAAAGGAACATCGTTGCAGAGCTTCAGCCTATTTGAAGTAGTTTTCAATCATTCATCCGACAAGATGGAAAGTTTGGATGAGACAAGGGTCTGCCACGACAGAACCATTTAAAGATATCTAAAGTTTCTTATTGTATGTGTCAATGACCTCGTCACACTGAAAAATCTTGGTACGCTCCTTTTGGTTCATAATCTGGCCTAAAACATCCCGTTGTGTGCATCCACCTTAAATAGTGTTAACAACTAAATCAGCAGGACAAATTTGGAGACATTCTCTCCGTCAAGATTCAAACAGGATTTCTAAGAGGGCAAAACTAACATGGTTGCATATCTTTTTTTTTTTTTTTTTTGGAAAAACATTTACAAACAAGTCAAATCAACTCTGCTAGCTTTAGAGAAGAGGTGAGTGTATTGAAAGGGACGAAGAGATCCATGGATGAGTTACTGCATAGCCTGTTGGTTAGATTTCACTATGGATGACGTGAACGTTTGCAGTTCGGTGGGCGCTTTAAGCCACAGCTCCTTACAGTACTGAGGAATACATACTGATCTGAGGACAGGTGGTCCCAGTTGGAAATGAACCCCAAAAAAGTGTCGCTGAGGTTCAAACCCTAAATTCTTAAAATCAAAACTCAGACTGTTATCAAAGCAGACAAACACCCACACTGTTCACTCGAGAGAGAGCAGAAAAATCACTGCTTAAGAGTGAGTTCACTTAAATGCTTTATACTGTATCTGCATGGTAGTTACCGAAAACACTTTTAAAAGACTTCACAAAAATGTCAACTACAGTGTAAGATGTGATACTACTGTGAATGATGGGGTTCATGAGTAGTTGTTATGTTGTTAAAACATAAACACAGTTAATGTGAAGAATTGCAGTTCTAGCGAGTTAATTTGGTTTTTAGAGTCAAACCCACTGAAGCTGCAGCAGTACATCAGCAGAATAATAAAAGGTCCAAAAAGTATCCGAACCCATTATATTTCCATGCTAGACTGTAACTCTGGCTTGGAACGGTTTTGGATTAGTTGAGTATGAAAATGATGTTATAACTTGCAATTGCACCATCACTGGAAACATAAAAGGTACACTTTAAAATGAGCACCTTTAAAAACACGTCATCTATGTTATGCAGAGACCATGAATCATCTCAATCTGTTCCCCATGTTCCCAAATGTATGTCTTCATCTATCTATTTCCAAAACCACACAGCACTGACACCAGCACTGAACCTCGGTGGAGCAGCAGATTGTAAAATGAATACAATAAATGCTCCTTCTATTTGGGTGTTCACCTGTTTTGAGATAAAAGGTTCTGCAGGACACTGATGATACGTGTTTAAAAGGGTACCACTCGCAGTGAGACTCGGATCTGTTTCACAAGTGCTGCAAATCACAAAAAACTTCTTCAGCCTGACAGAGCATGATAGCAGGGATTTACATTTCAAGGAACAATCACACTGGTTCTTTTGTGCCAACCAAAAACAATCAAACCATGAAAAGAGATTCAGTACAAGAGTATTTTCAGATCACTTGGGAAAAACACATTAACTCACATTATTAATTACTACTGGCCACAAAAAAAGAAAAAGAAAACAAACAAGATAGCCATAATAAAAGGATACACCTTTTAAAAATGTTCCCAAACCAAACTGTTGTCCAAAAACAGAATTAAAAGAAAGGTTGGGGAAACTACAGTTTTCCAAATTCCAGTTCTCACTGTTAATAATCTGTGGTACCTAAAGAATGTTGTGGCTTTTTAAATGAGGAAATTTTAGTACCAAAACCATTGCTGTGGTAGTGGATGTTGACATCCTTGCACTACGGACACCCTCGGGACTAGCAGGTGAGTTGTGAATGCCGGACAGCGTGTTAACTGCAGTGAATCTGTTACAGTACGATGGCAAACAAAACACAAAAAAAAAAAACAACAAACACAGAAAGCAAGAGTGAACCTCAAACGTAAAGACGTATCTGCATGCACAATGTCACAAAAACGCTGAGGTGAGGTTCAAGAAACTGAAATTAAAAATCATACAGGAAACTGAAGGGCACAGAAACGGTGTAACCAGGCTAACACACAGTGAAGGCAGCTGATCGGGGGGTTCAGATTAAAGGAACGGGCGGCACAACATATCCAACACCAGCCTGATTTTAAAAGTTGAGTGGCATCTGAGAGGTGTGAGGCCACTATTGAACATGAAAGTATCCAAACATGAGTTGGAACAAGGCAAAAACAACAACTGAAAAAAAACAGAAGGGAAACAGTGACGTCACACCTGAACACATGCAGGATCGAACACGTTGATGATTCAATGAATTTAGAGGACATGGTGAACACTACTCAAACAGTGTTTCACCACAGTTTTACTTTTAACACTTGCATTAGTGTTAGCATTTGGATTATAGAAGCTTTTTATAGCCTGTTACACTCAAGGTATCCACACTATAAAAATACTCATTTTTACTTTTATGACACATGAATTACAGAGGACCCACTCTGTAAAGAAGGGATTATTCTGTTAACTGATGAGTTTCTGTTAGCTGTTTTATTTCTGTTCAATATACAATTTGCAAACATAATTGCTGCAAATGGTGCATATTCAATTTCACAGCAAAACGTTTTAAATGTTAGTATTTTGTGAGTGGCTGTTGATAAAAACTTCCATTTAAAATATCAATTTCCAAAGAACGATGTGGCCTATAATCCAACTGCCCTATGTGTCTTTTTACACATTTAAACAACCAAAGAAAAAAAGAAAAACAGAAAAGCATGTAGCAGCAAACAGGTTATTTGTCGGGGTCAAAGTGTAGGCCATGGGTACATTATGCGAAGAGGAGAAACGGTTGATTTTGTCAATAAGATTTACAAAATACTTGCACAACATGCAACTAGCTGATAAGGATTTTAGCCTTGTTGTTATACTGAAGGTGAAAAAAAAAAAAAACAATCCAATGTCCTGAACTAATACTTGTACATCAGGCTCAGAAACAGAGAAAAATAACTAACCCGAAAGTGTTGGTAGTAATGGTTCGGAGGTATTTTAACAGCAAATAGTCCAGACTACAAAAACTGAGTGATGGACGTGAATTACACAAAGAGTGATTCCAAAAAGGGAAAAAGCACAGTTTCTCTGCTGGAGAACAAAGGCATGTAGACAGTGGTGCTAAATCAATAAAGCAGTGTACAATGCAGACTGCACCGTCCAGCTTCATAGTTCAGCTGCGCTGACATTAAACAGAAATGAAAGGCTGTAAAGGTCCAGCAGGGTTTGCTGAAATGAATTACAGGCAAACCTATCCCATAGGATGAGGTGTGCATGTAATCTACTATTTCAACTCCCCGAAATGATTGCAGGTAAGGTAAGATTCCTTTAAAAGGTGGCAGGAAGATCTCCAGTCAGAACGTTATTGCAGGCAATTCAGGCAAGCAAGGTGGCTTTCCATCCTGGAATCTCAGGCTTCGCTAAAATTTGAAAGATCCGCACTGTCGTTTTCAAGTATGTGGTAAATACACAATGAAAAAAAGCTTGAATCCCTTCTAGAATGCACATGCTCGTGTGCATATGGACTCAGGCTGCCCTGACTATAGACAGAGGCATGCAAACTGTTTATGTTTGTGCCACACTTTGCACGGGTGTGGTTAATTCTGCCAATTGGCCAATCTGACACAAGCTTAGTCAATCTGGACTGTGGGAGGAATAAAATTAATTGCCCCTCGGGGACAAATAAGGTCTTGAAATCTAAAAGCTCACCTAAGCAGCACTTTGAGAACATGTCATGCACAATAACTGTACCATTAGACAGTAAAAACACTAATCTAATCTACAGTAGGTTAACTGATTCTGCTGCTAGCAAATTTGCATTAGTGTATTTTACATGAGGGGCAACTCTTCGCTAGAAGCATCTTGGTCCCCATTATCTCCAAAAAGGTCATACCGTTCTTCTACATCTGCATCTACAACAGGAGTGCTGAACCTTTTTAATGCCAGGATTTGCATGGAGCAAATTTAATTTCGGCCTGCGTTAGCTCAGCCTGAACACCTCATTAAATCAACATCCAAAACAAGGCAGCAGGGTGGAAGAGGAGCCGGAGGGTTAAGGGACAGGCCCGGCTGAAGTGTCTTTGAGCTTGACACCGACAGACAGGGAAGGGCGACAGAAAAAAAAAAAAATCATCATCCCATTGTATTTCACAAATCAGAAACACAGGTTGATGAGCCACACTGAACTGTAGTTGTAGTGATCCTAGTCAACAGAAATCAACAACGCAGACACTACTTGTGTATATCTGTTGGAAGACAATGTCTTGGTCCCATCATCTAACACTAAACTCAACAGGTTAGGTATGCATGCGTGGCAATATGGTGTTGTTAATGTTGTTTACATGTAGGCAGGTGGAGGAGAGACAAAAAGCAAAAGGCCATGTGCAGTGGAGCAACAGAAAGAATCTGCTTCCCATCTGGGTTGAAGGAGTCAGGTGCCGTACGAATCTCAACAGGATTTGGCTTCAGTGCACTCCTTAGAAGACTGGAGCATAACTGGGCAACTCTTTGTGCAACAAAATGCCTCCCAAATCTTAGCAACTGCCACAACGGCCGTTCAGCTGCAGTTTGGAGCTGGGTGACCACCAGCTGTAGTCTAAATGGTTTCCCACTAACAACCAGAGGTAACCGAAGGCTTCAGCTACAGCCTGTCCGTCTGCAGTCGGGCAGATGAAGGGGGGAGGCAGTGGTGGTCAAATGATGTTTCTGTGGTCGCAGAAAAGGAATTTTCTTGAGTCCCTGGTGGTAAAAATGACTCATTGAGGATTAACTTCATTTCTGTGCAGACATCCTATCTCAGAGAACTGTTGCACAAATAGTCGTCCGGGGTACCACAGCCTCCAGGACATAATGCTACAGTAGCTATTCACACAAAAATACACACAGTAACAAAAACACTAAAAATACTCTGTGTCTCTGTGCTTCCTGACACAGGACTGATTACAGGAATCAACAAAGGCGATTACAGGAAACCATAAATTAAAGATTACAATATTAAAACCTCTATGACAGGGGGACTCTGTTAGGGAAATTTAGGAGTTGGATGTTAGAGGTATCATTATTTACAAGAGTTAAATTATTAAAATGGCTTTTCTCAGTTTCTGTTTCTTTCTTTTAGTGTTCCTTTAGCGGCCTCTGTGAACGAGACCTTTAAGCAGCGTCAAAAGTTGATGACGTCACGGCATCGAGAGTTGATGACATCACAGCGTTCAGGGGTACATGACATCATCTTGTCGAGGTGTTGATGATGTCATGACATTATCTCCTTCACGGGTCCTCTGTTGTCTTGAGCAGCTCCATCAGCGCCCCAACAGCTCCAAAATAACCCTGGTGCAAACACACACACACACTTTTTACACATACTGGAGTGTTTTCTATGTGCTATCTGGGATATTAGCTTAAGCTTTAAAAGACAAGAGGTTTGAGTCTTCCTCCTGACTTCTTTCAGCTCTGACTACAGGTCCTCAGCTTGATTAAACTCGTCCTACAGTTGATTAGTCGAGTGCTCACCTCGTGTTCCAGGAAGAGGGCTCTTAATTGTCCTTTAGACCAGAAGTCCATGGCATAGGCTAGCAGTTTTGTGGACACTGTGTTGATTCGAAGGAAGTTCCCAACAAACACCACACGCTCAATTTTCTGATATGAAGAGAGACGCAAAAAAGGTAAATTAAGAGAAATCAAGCCCCATTATGTGTGTGACCACTATGTTAAATGCGATAACAATAAACTATTTTCATGTTTAAAAATATGAAACGCTGATGTGTCTTGGGAGTCCTTAGGCCAATCATGAACTGCAACATTCCTGGTTCATGTCACAAATGTTGCGCCACACATTTAAACTACATGGATTGTACCAAACAATAGTGTTCACTGCTCTTTTATGAAACAGACACTATATCTGACACATATATAATGATATTCATAAAATCTGTCTTTCATTACATTCATGTATACAAATAATAAGTATAAACAGTCCCAAAGTAAACAAGTGCTTAAGGTCATGAACAATTTGACAAAGTGTTCACACAGATCAGCAATTAAAAATGCAACATATCATCCAAACCACATGGTGGTGCTGGAGAGCTGGTGAACTGGTTACCAGTAAATCTTTTGCTCTACTAAGGAAAAGACCTAATGGTCTTTACTACTGGTGGCATAACCTTCACTGCACGGACAATTCAGCTACCAACCAAATGCTGATTAAATGTGGTATTACACCAAAGCTTTCAAAATTGCAATAAAGCCAGAAAAAATCATACAACTGCTAAATGCTGTCTTGGAAATACATAATTTGCAATTTAGGCAAGTGACCAGAAAATGTAAAAATAAATTTGTAAATGTAAAATGAGAAAGACAGCGACAGTGGGAGCTTTACATTCACAAATTAATACTTATACTTCACCTCCAGTTTGACATCCACAGTGGGAAAAAAACTGCATTGAAAGAGCAGTCTCTGCATATTTGGCAATGGGTTATCTAATATTATCGAATATATTGTGAAAGTCCTGTAAAATTGCAAGAAACAGCCACAGTGGAAGGTGAATTTTGGGAAATTGCAAATGGATAAAACACTGTGAGCAGTATTATGAAAAGATTCCTGCTGTTAAGAAGATGATTGTTTGTGACAGAGCTTATCTTCAAGCTGTAAACTGCATGTGCACTTAGAAAAGATGAGTGTGCGTTTGTTTGTTTGTTGTGGCAAATATAGGACTAATTGATAACCAATCTTCAGGTCATCTACCCCTGATAGGATGGAGGTCCTTTCCTGTCCACAGCCAGAGGAAAATACTAGTAGAAAATACTTTTTCCCGTGTAGGTGTTTGTTTAACCTACACAAAACAATTTCTACATCAATATTAAAGATGATTAAAATCAAAACTGGACCTACAGATTCCATACCAAAATCTAAATTTTAGCCCTTAACACTACAGACGGTGGAGGTGTGTGCATGTCTTTGCTGCAGCTCTGTGTGCAGTGATAGCCCTGTACAATGCTGCTTGATCGCCATGCCACAAGGCAACACTGTAAAGAAGCTCACAGCACCCAGAAAGACTCCAGGCTGACCCTTTACTCCATGTTTGAGTTTGGCTGCTTTTAAAATCCAGCTTTAGCTCCATTTTTGTTTTGTGTAACTATTTACTCATGAATTTCCATCCATAAACTATTATTCTATTAGATCAAACAGCTTTTGGTTGTTTGTTTTTGTGACACACTCAGTGCCATTTAGCACCCACAATCCCAAAATTTTAAACTCATCGCCATTCATACCAGAGTTTCAAGACACCAACAACTGGAACAAAATCAGTGTAAAACTGAAAAAGAAATCTGTCTTTAGTTTCTCTGATTAAGTACTTACTACAAAACAACAATACAGTCCTGGGTAGAAATAAAGAAGTAATAATAAGAATAAGAAATAAAGTTGTAAACTGTGAGTGTGTGCTTCTGTCTGCAGGTGCATCTGTGGGTTTAAAGCATAACTTTGATTGACTTTATGTTAGTCATGCTGAGTGGCTAGAAAATCTCTAAACCCTGGTCATTGTATATGTGCCTGTGTGTGTTTAGAATTATTTCAACCCGAACACGTGCCAATGGATCATGCTACTGTTGAGAGCAATTATAAACGCTCATGTGTTTGTGTGTAAGTATTACATAAACTACACATGCCTGTTGTGGATATTATGTTACATGATAGTGACCAAAACCCTGTGTGTGTGTGTGTGTGTGTGTGTGTGTGTGTGTGTGTACCTCATTGACAGCACACATCCGTGCTATGGATCCGATGTTATTAGTGATGGTGACCAGTGTGGCTCTGGCCAGGTCTTCCTTGCTGATGCTGTCTCGCTTCTCTTTGCTCATCATGTGACCAAAACTATAACAGACCATATGAAACACAACATATAAATAAAATATGTAATTTAACAACAAACATAAACACAGGCACCCTTTCCTCATTTGGTACTATTCAAGTCTGATAAACTCAAATTAACTGAAAGAGAAGGAAAAAAAGATCAAACAGGCACAGAGCACACATGAGCCTCTGCAAATGTCACAATAACCTTCAGAACAACAGTACACAAGGGTTGTTTGTTAAACTTTAGGTGTTTAGGAGGGTGTTTTTCAATAAATGACAGAAGGGAACACCATGACAAGAAACAGCGATTATAATGTGATAAAATGTGTTTTTCACTTTGCTTTATGGATCAACCTTTGAACACAGAGCTGCAGGTTTACTGTATACATGCTAAACCCAGATTAGAGAGTGAGTTAGTGTGTGTGTACCTTATGCAGTCAGCTGTTATTTCATACACCCGCACTGTATTTGTAGTTTGTTATTTCTGTTATGGACTGCATGTGTTTGTGCAGCCATACATTCATACAGTGCAAGAAACAAAATTAAACAAAATTAGCAATTTAAGCAGATTCAGCAAGTTCCAAGCTGATTTCATCCACTTCACATAATTAGTTTAATAATTTGCATCAAGTTACTTAATTACGCTTTTATTTTGTTATGTATAGATACGAATCACCATTTTCTAAATGAATTGTAAGTCGCCAGTTAAGGCAAATATTCAACTTTTTAATGTTTTTTTTTCTTCAATATACCTCACCCACAATTATGAGAAATATATTATTCACAGTCACTGCCAATTCACAGTACAGTCCTGCCCACCGGCAGTATGACTCCCATCACATCTCCTGTCAGTTCAAGTCCCAACCATAGTGGATGTCAGTGGAGGAAGTGATGTTAGCTTCTGGTTCAAGTTTAGTCAACTTCTCTAGAAGCACAGAGCATCAGAGCACACTAGCAGTCATTTTGCCCTGCGTCATTCTACCCACATCTATATTCATATTAAGTTTTATGTTTGGTTTTATGACAAGAGCTGGTTTGCAAAGGTTCGTAGCCTACTGTGCATTGCTCTGTGTACAATGACGCAGCAGAAAAAAGTACAATGAATCAACTGACATAACTGGTTATTTTAGTTATCAAGGGGCAGCCTTAATTTACCTACAGAAATTTAAAAAAAGATGTGATTCAGGAGGGTTTTAGTGAAAGAAACTGTTGATAAGGGTTGATAAGGACACTGATTTAATCCACATGCAGATGGGCTGGATGTATTGTCTTTAGGAAGGTTTTGTTTTGTCCCATACTTATAGCTCTTTAATATGTCACAAATAGTTCATACTTCATCACATACAACAGGTCAGGGAGTTTTTTTTTTTTTTACAACCGTTTTGTTAATGTCCCTTGGTGTTTTAGCATTCAAAGGATTAAGTATCTTGCTGAAATGAACTGGGACAATATGGTGGACTTTCAGGTGACAAAGCCATCATCACACTCACCTAGATGCAACAGCGGAGCCCTGTAGGCCAAAGCGCTCGTAGTCTCCTCCGTAGATATCTTTCACCAGTTTGTCCACGTTGGTAGAGTCGCCCTTGCTGGCCATTTCCAACGCCTCCTCGAACGTCTCACAGCCCGTCAGCAGACAGCAAAGGCCCAGGAATGTACCACCTCCCAGACTGAAAGAGGATAAAGCCGGAGATAGAGAGTGAAGGAGACAATATAGAAATGTGACAGAGCACAGAGAGGATGTTAAAAGAGTGGAATAAAGAAGAAGGGAAAGAGGATTAGATGGGGAAGAAGGGTATACAGAAAGATCTACTTCTGTCCTCAGCTCTAAAATCTCTTCCTAGTACTTCAGTCTCTTACATCACCATTCAAGAGTCACTGGAGTTCTGTTAGGGCAATCGCAAACCTTTTAATAATCAATAAATAATAAAATACAAAAAAAATAACATAATATATATGTAAATGTACAATAACTCTGGGAGGGACTCTCTTTGATTTTCCAATTGTTTTCAATAGTTCTCTATCTAATCACAACCTAGTCCTACGGTTACATAAGTACTAAGGTACACAAGCTGATCATAGATAAAAAATGGCTGGAATTTAGACAACTGATTCTGGCCACCTTCACCTTTTGCACATATTCATTCATGCAAAATAACTTCAAGTTCAAAACTCACTCACATAACTCAGTGAGATATTATTGAGTTTATATAGTGACTTTAACTGAAACAATATTTAGTTTTATTTAAAATACTAAATTCTAATCCAGTTAAAAATCAACCAAGCTGACATGCGTTACCACACACCGCAGACTTTCCTCATATCGTGCAGGACTAGTATTCATCAGGCTGAAATTAGTTTTTTTAGTGTTAGAGAGTTTGCTAAACCTGCCTTGAAACACTCATATGAACAAGCCTCAGAGAGAATTTAAGGATAAGAATAGGAAAATGTTTTTCAACCCTCCTCACCTGGTCCCAGTCACCCGTTTGTAGTTGTTCTCAGAGTACACGGCCAGTATGGAGACCCCGGAGCCAATGTTGACCAGCAGCATGGGGAAGGGGTTGTCCAGGGTGCAGGGCATCTTCACACAGCTCTGGGTGTCTGATGGGTTCTGGAAGTAGTATCCCTCCGGGTGTCCATTGAAGCTCACCCGGTCAACGTAGAGCAGACCACGGATGAGGCAGTCCAGCTCGTCGAGCTTCAGCAGCTCCAGGTCGGCCATCTGCAGCACAAATGGAGGAGGGTTGAAATATATAATAGTGGACATCATTTTGGCTGCCAAACACAATGAAAAGGGTTTTAACTGTTCAAGATATGTTAAAGTAAAAGATTATTACATTTCTTGGAAGCATTAATTTGACAGTTTTATGAAGTTAAAATGATTTTCAAAGCACTTAAAGACTCAAGTGTGCTTAAGGTCTTGGTTCAGCTCATTTCGTGCTGCAGTGCCCAGGGAGAGTTCATTGATCCTACTGCACCGCAGTAAGGGTCAATGAACTCGGGTAAACAGCTACTGAGACAGGCATCAAATGCACTGAACTGCAAATGCATGAACTTCAAGTAATGTTTAAGAATCACCAGAAATGTATGGATATCCTCAATCAACTACAAAGACTGCTCAGATTATAACGGGTGAGAAATTTGATTCTGTATACTGTAAATGAGACAGAGCTGTTTACATGGCCTAGTTAGCATGATCAGTGATTAAGGCCATTACTTTCTCAATTAATAATTTCGCCAATAGAAAGATGCCTAACGTGTTTATCTATTAATATCTATTATATCTATTAACTGAAAGTCTTGTTAAGTTTAAAGATTTACAATTTAAAATTCTAATTATACAAATTAGAAATAATAAAATAGTTGCAGATAAACTGATTAATGGACTAATCAACTTATTGTTACAGCTCTCTCAATGGACTAATCAACTTATTGTTACAGCTCTCTCAGTTACCAATTTTTTTTTACTTAATGTGAATCACACATTTTCTTTCGCCATATGCTCACCGTTCTGAAGTCATTCTCAAACTTGTACGCGCCCCCTCCAGTGGCACAGAGTGTTGTGTGCAAGCTGGAGAAATTCTTGTCGTGACCCATCTGGATGAAACGGGGCATGGCCTGTGTTGGGAAGCGGATAAAGTGCAGGTTCCCCGTCCTGCCGCACATGGTCAGGTTCCTCAGCTCCAGGTGGACGTCGCGGACGCCTGTTTTACCTGAGTGAGGGAGGAACAATTTTTAGAAAATAGGATTCTGGCCTGATGTACTCATACCGACTAAGTAAAACACGCTCTAATAAAAGCTGTGATTAAAGTTCATCTGCACAAAAATTGTATTTATTTGTGTTGTAGTGCTGTTCAGCTTCAGTAACTTTAGAAGGTGAATGGTCTGCTTGAACTGAACCTGAAGCCAAGAACAAAATTCAAAAAATCTTAGGAATCTTAAGCAATACATTAGCGACACATATGGTTAAATACACCCTAGTATCTTCTAGTGTCCCTGATCTGACTTTCCCTGCCTTAGATACGCACAAACGTTAACAGATGCAAGTATGTGGGTGTGACAATGTGTGTGTGGGTAGACATACCATAGGCCACGTTTGAAGTGAGGTAGCGGCGGATGGACTTGAGGTTTTCCACTTCCTCCTGTTCTTCCTCTGCAGTAATGTCAACTGGCTCAAAGTACACCAACTTGACCAAGGTGCCACCGATGTCCATACCAAACCAGGGAAAGGCTGGAAAGGTCAATGAGAAAATTGTAATTAACCTTTTTTTTTTCTCTTTTAAAAACAAGACGTGACAAAACCCAGGATTTTACTGATGCAAATAATCAATATCTTTATTGATTATTTAGTTGAAGAAAAAAAAACATGTTATACAGAGCAGTATTCAGTATAAGAACTACATTGCTGATTGGCTTAGAGCTACAACAGTTGATTATTGATGGAAAGAAAATGAACTGAATGTATTTATATATTTCTATATTGATGGTTTTAGCCATTTGTGGTTATCTCTGGGATTCTGGCTGATGCTCAAACATTACAAGCTATTTAGATAAACCAATTATAGTGGCTGTTTTTCACTTCTATGAAAATACATTAATTGAGAAAATATTTGTCAGAAAAATGAATACTTAAAAATTGCAAACCTAGCCTGGAGTCTCTGCTACAGTGACAACCAACTTATGTCACCTGTCTGATATGAATGGGTCCAACCTAGCGTGATACATGCATCATCTGCAGCATCAAAGTGGTATTAACAGATAACTCTACTGCACAGGCAAGGTTGGACAGGAGAAAACTGTGTGGTCTGGATACTTCACAACCCGCTAGAACCCCCCCCCAACACAAGAGAGCCACGGTCACCATGGAAACAGACAACCCCCCCCCATCTCCTCTTCTCTCAGTCTCCTATTTTCTCTTTCACTTAGCTTTTCCTTTCCATCTCTTAGCCTCTATCGTGTTATCTATCTATCTTCTCTCTCCATTTCCACCTCAACTGCATCACTCTCTCCCATTTGGTTTCTTCCTTTTTCACTGCTTATTCTCCTTTCTTGCTCCTTCAGTTTCCTATTTTCTTTCCCTTCTCCTTTTTATCTCCCACTCCTCTTGCTTGCTTCTTGTCTCTTGATCAATTTAATTCAATTCAAGTGAGATTTACTGGCATGGACGGAAGAGAACTGTTACTGCAAGACCTTTTTAATGCACCGCAAAGCAACTACTATATTTAACGAAAAGGTACATCAGCCTTTCTTAGTTTTTTAGTTTAGTGGGCTTTATTTCTCTGATAATTAGAGTTGAAATGATTAGTTGATTAATCAAACTATTGTGATAATAGGTTAATAGTTTCAGTTTTTTTCAGGCAAACTTACATTAACTAGTACCTGCTCTTCCATTGTGATGATTTGCTGCTTTTCAGTTTTACACCATTGTAAAATGAATATCTTACAGTTAGTCATACAAAACATTTGGTTACCAGGGTAATCCCAGTTCTCTGAAAACCAAGGGAGGTCTCTCATCATGGGAAGGGCCTCCTGGCATGACCAATTATTGAAGCTCCAATACCACCACGTCTGTCATGAGACAGACCAATCATCTTAAGTTGTTTGCCCGTCCCCCTTTCATAAAATGCCCCTGGAGCCCTACACGGCATTCTCAAGCGTACTTCTTCCACCCTATCCATGCAAGTAGGGCAGTGTTGTGGTTGGTTCTCAGAGATCGGGGTTACCCTGGTAACTAAAGGTTATCTCGCTCAGTATCTCACTATGGGAGATGTGGCCCACTCCTGAACTGCATGCTCCTAAAGACCATAACACCACCACAAGCCCTCCTCATGGGCTAGCACACAGTTAACTGAACACACTGTCACATCTAGATAGTTAAACCGAATAAATGTGTGTGGGGATGCCCAACTAGCCGCAACACAAATATCACCCACAGACATACCCCTTATATGGCCCATGAGGTGGCCATTCCTCTGGTAGAATGAGCCCACAGGCTCTCAGGGGACTGCAGTCCACAACTCTCATAAGCCAGGATTATAGCCTCCACCACCCAGTGTGACACGCGCTGACAAGTCAGAGCCTTTCCTCTGTGAGAAGGGGCCCAAAATACCAAAAGCTGGTTACTCTACCTAAATCCCTTAGTCCTGTCCAAATAGATATGCAAGGCTCTTACAGGACAAAGTGAATTAAGCCGCCTCTCACTCTCCTCTGCAAAAGGTGGTGGGTGAAAGGCAAGCAGTTCCAGCGTGGGGCAGCCATAGGCAGAGTCACTAACCTTGGGCACAAAAGCAAGGTTAGGGCGCAACATCACTTTCTTATAGTCAGGGGAAAATTGCAATCAAGATGTGTGGACATCCACTCTCCATCATACAATGGACACTCGGCAGAATATCTCCCAGGGAGGGACTTGGGGTAGAGCCTCCACTTGTTGTAGAGAGGATTTCCTTTGGAGAGCAAATCTGACCTACTGTTCAATACGCCATCGTTGGAAATCGCGTGTCCTTAACAACCCCTGAGGAACGACAGAAATGACTGAGGCCATCAACCTTGTCAGGCGGAGGCAGTCTCACAACTACACTGAAAGAGACCCTAGATATCCACCCTTGGTGACAACCTGAGGGCTGCGTCAGAGAGCAGTTGAATGAAAATCTCGTAGCCAAGTTGCTGAGGAGCCCAAATGGTCTTCACAGGGAAGAAAGCGAGAATGCCGTGTAGGGCAACAGGGACATTTATAAAAGGGGACCGGTAGGCCTGTGCAACTGAAGATTATTCGTCTGTCTCATGACAGACGTGGTGTTATTGGAGCTTCCATCATTGGTCATGCCAGGAGACGCTTCCCATAGTGAGATACCGAGTGAGGTTTGAGAGAGAACAAGCAAGCTGAAGGGCTCTGAGAAATTTTTATTAGCATTTTTCACTCTTCAAAATTAAACTAAACTAAATAAATGCATACATTTTAGGATGTGACAGTGAACTAGTCTTTCTACGACAATCTGTACTTTTGTTGCCTTGAAAATTTTAACAAAATTAAAAACAAAAAGAAAAGCTTAGAAAAGAAAATCACATCAATACAAACTCAACCATTCCCACATCGAAATTCAGTTTATTTTGGCAGAAGGATCTATTCTATTCTAGTTCTAGCATACGTTGCTATTTTTAGAAGCCACCTTCATCGATCCACTTGTCTTTGCATTGGCAGTTCAACAAATACCAAAGAACTGGTTTAACATTCAGTGACAAAAATGAAGACAGTTAGTTGCTCTTTACTTGTAACAGACATGGTGAAGCAATGAGGTTACTGAAGGTTAAATCCAACCCTCTCAGCATTCTTTTAGTCTGTGAAAGATTAATGTTTTACATTTGTTGCACAATACAGAGGTGAGAAGAGAACAAGGACCGAGGCAACTGTTTAAGACAACACATGCTCACAAAAACGCTGTTGTTGTAGAAAGCAGCAGCGTTTAACAAAAGAATGTGTTGAATCCAAATATTTAGTGCATGATGATGGGCCAGCTCACCAAGACACTGCAATCCATGGTGCTTCACATAAACATAACCTTAACTTCCCCTCTCATGCTGGCTAAATTTATACGTCTGTCAGTAATAAAATAAAATAATAAAGCAGTTCAAGATTCTGGACTTTTGGACTGGACTTCGCCTGTTATATGTCCAACTGATTTAGACATCTAAGTCTGAGTTTATTTCCATGGTAATAAGAAGTTGAGATGTTGGTAATGCAATAACTTTGGGTCCATTTGTGTGTTTGACGTTCGACAGTGTTAAAGGTCCAGTGTGTAATTTGTAGAGGAATCTGTTAGCAGAAATGGTATACAGTATTCTTAGGTATGTTTTTATTTGTGTATAGTCACCCGAAAAAAATAATTGTTCTGTTTTTGTTACCTTACCATGAGTAGTTGTTATCTATAGAGAGAGTGGAAGCTATGTTGTCTGCTATGTTGAACCGCATGTTTGCAATAGCCCAGAAGCGAATAAACCAACCCTGGCTCTAGATATGGCCTTTAGGGTTTTTTTGCACCACCACAGATTCTCCTTCACGCTCGAGAAAGAGTTGCAATCTGCAATTTCACCAGTAGATGAGACTAAATCCTACGCACTGGTCCTTGAGGACAGGGCTGGCCATCAAAACTCAGGGAAAAAAGCTGGGTCATGAAAAATTGTATGGTCTTCAGATGTTTTTGTTTTGTCCGACCAACACCTCAAAACCCCCAAATATTCAGTTTATTGTCACATAAGAAAAAGAAAAGTAGCAAATCCTCAAAAGTAAGAAGCTGGAACTAGGGGATGTTTAGCATTCTTGGTTAAAAAATAATTAAAAAGGATTATCAAAATCGATCCTTCAAATCAATGAGTAATCACTTAATCGATTAAATGACAGATAAACAACATTCTAAAATCACTGGACATAGTGATATTGGGTATTTACCAGCATACCGGAGCTGTGGGCTGTAAAAGTCTGCCAACAACTGGTGACTTCTTAACCTATCCTGGTACTCTCTGTGCTTTCAGCATTGCCCTTTAATGACAACCAGAAGATCTGACTATTTCAAAAGAGACTGTTGAATGGTCCTGTCTGGCTTATTGAGGCAAAGGTCATTTCCCAATAATAGCTAGCAAATTTGATTTGGGGATTTCAGGTCAAGGGTTGAACAACATTTAAACATGTATTTTATGCTTTTGTTAGTTTCTCATGGTGTTAGCAATGTCAGTACACATATGTATGTATACCTAACTGTTTCCAAAGAGAGTAAGGTAGCATTAGAAATCTAGTGTTTATTGTGGATCACATCATGGGGATACAGTTTGTGGTGATTTAGAACAGTGAATGCTTGACAACATATTGGGCTGCAGTCAGGTGTACTGTACAGTGTCCTTACAGAATACCTGACAAGATAATCAAATCTAACACATTATTTCTGCCAGAAATACTGAAATATACTCAGTTACCGAAGCCAACCACAGTATATGACCGCTAATTAGCACCACCACAGCTACTGCTAAGGTAACCAGCTGATGCTACAGCTAATACCTCTACACGTGCTGCTGCTCCACTGCAGTGGTTGGTGTTTGTTAACTTTTAACAGGAGTCACCTATCACCTCCTTTATTGTTTGGTTGACTTTTTGTTACCGTCTCCTCTCACCTACTGACCTGCCCTAGTATCTGTAAACATGAACTGAGAAGTATAGATTTTGCAGTGCACTGTCTGGATAAT